CCCATGACAGGTAGGTTGGACTAGATGATCTCTAAGGTCCCTTCCAGCCTAGGCCAGTCTATGATTCTGTGATTCTGTATCACGTGTTGGAACGTGACTTTCCTGAAAAATCTCAGTGTGAAGATACCTCGACTTCCCTTTCTCTCTTATCCAACCTACATTATAAAGTACAAGCTGCAAATTTTGTTTTGCTCCAAAGCAGATCAATTCTTCAAAAAAAAAAGAATTAAAATGTATCTTACAGACAACATCTCACCAAGGGTGCTGATAGCACCCAAAGCAGGCACACAGTCCGTGCAGACATGCAGACAATTAAATAGGTTGTGAAGCAAAAAGGGAAAAAGTGCAAACCAAGAAAAAATTTCTTAAATTTGGGAAGAATATCAATTTTTTCTGGCAAAAAGTCACAAGCAAGAAAATCTCTGTAATGAAGATTATGCGATACATATATGATATCTACTACAAAAAATGCAGCTCTATATAGTTAGGCTAGAGCAAGTATGAGGAGTGGCTAGACAAATACTAAGCCTACTCACAACAAACTACTGAAGTCACCTTACAAGCAGATATAAGGTAAGAAACTCCATATCTTAGAAAGATTTAATCTCTTTGCCTGACTGAACCACTCCAAAGTACGCTGAAATCAACTAAACGAGTTCCACATTTGAATGACTCTTAAACAATTCACTTAGAAGTACAATAATGCTATCTATCTTTTAAATAGATTTTCTTTTATCTAGCCACTGTTTCATGTGCAGTTAGAAGGAAATTTAAAAATGTAAGTAACTCAAAGATAAAGTATCTGTTCTTGTTGGTAAAATTATTTAGACAAAATTCTGTCTCCAGATGCTTAAGTTTCTCAATTTTCTTCATAAGCAATAATAAGGCACTCTACCTTAATAAATAATATTTTAGAGACTTCATAATTAAATAACAGCATAAAGACAATGAAGTCCATCTTTACAAGGCTATGAAATACTGATTTAACAGTCTATTGGCTGTGATTAGTTTAAGATGGGTACTTAACTGATCAGTGTCTTCTACCAGTTCACACTGCAGGAATCTGTAATACGTGCAGGTATTCCTAGAGAGCACATTTACACTTAGACATAAAAATGGAAGGGCAAGAGAGCCCGAGAACTGGACCCTGTTTAACTGCCAGCTCACTCCTTGTCCCAATTTTTTTGAACAGCTCCAATTAAATCTCACCAAGACAAAGCCCAGGAGAAACTCAGAGAAAAATCACTCCAGAAACGTCATCCAGAAGACAGTACCATAATAAAGACTGCCGGAGCACACTGAATGTCACTCCAGCTCAATATAGTGTCCTCTGACCGTGGCCCAAGGCAGATCCTACGGAAAGACACAGAACTAGAGGGACTATTTGCAACGCATTCCCTGAGTACTCTCCAAAGCCTCCCAACACACGCCTCAGATCTCCTGAGCCAGATGTAGTTTTCACATTCTTAATAGCCTGCAGAAGATTTCTTTGGCCCAGCATGAATTACAGCCCCAGGTCTGGATCCCTATTTTTTATGTTGTCCTTCTGACACTGTCCAAACAGACACCGCTCTCTCAAGCACCTCCTGGTGTTGGCTGAAGGACACACAACACACATCCTCTCATTTCATGCTCTAAAAACAGCACTCTGGTGAGCTGCTGCACAATGCTCATAGTATTTCAAAGACTGAATTAAAAAAAACAAATGCAAGGCTGACACTAGAGAAGGTCTTTTTATATGCCACACAGGATCTCAAAGTCCAAGTGCTCCTGGGTAGTGTGGACACTGGCAGTCTGCTCTAGAGATGATGAGCCCTGTTAGTCTGACTATTAGTCAGGGTTTTCTTGCTTTGCCTGAAGACCAAGAAGCGTTCCCAAGAACTAATGCACCCAGTAGGGCAAGTGTAACTTGAGAAGTCATTAATTTTTTTTTGTACGTTCTTGCTTATATCCTCTACTGAAGTCAGATGTCATTCATTCAAAAGTTCAAAACAAAGTCTGGTGCTCCACAACTTCTGAAAAGTAGCAATTAAAAGAATCACAGATCCTAAGCATTCATAATAAGCTCTAGAACTTCAAAAGAGTTCAGCAATATGGTAATGTCATATTATGTCCACTTCCCAGGGTAACAGGAGACTAACAGACACTTTAGATAACAGGACATATCTGAGTAACGGGACGCGGCAAAGAACACAACAGAGACACACCTAAAGGCGGCAGCAGGGGTTCTGCCAGACTTCCTGCTTTAGCAGTTACTGACACCTCTTCATATTGTTGTCACTGAAAGTCTAAATTTCAGAAAGGCTGATAAGCCCTGGAAAATTGCTACACCAGCTTCAGGAACTGCCTTAGATCTAGCACCATGTCAAACCTTCCTGGAACCATGTGCAGCAGACAGCAAGGCAGGAGGTACCCTCTGGTCAGCACAGCAGCAGCACAAGCCCTGTAGCACTTAAACTACTCAATTCTGGCCCTTTGGCCAAGCAGCTTGTCTTCGAGCACGATCCCTAGAATTTCAGCAGAATAAGCAGAAGTGCTTATCACTGCAGACGCAAAAGCCACAATTGCACTGAATGTATGAGTCTCTACAGTGTAATGCTTAGCCAAAAGTTCTATTCCAAGTACAAGCCATAGGAAACACGTTCAAGGTAGAAACTTCAGCAGAAGGTCCAACCTCCCCTGCTCAAGCAGGATCAAGCGGTTCACAGCACACAGGTAATCAGCAAACCAAACAACCCAACCACATACCATGAGCTAACTAAGGAGCTGAACGGGATGATCATTGAATCATAGAATGTATTGGGCTGGAAGAGATCTTTAAAGGTCACCTAGTCCACCCCCCCTGCAGTGAGCAGGGACATCTTTAACTAGATCAGGTTGCTCAGAGCCCCATCAAGCCTGGCCTTGAATGTCTCCAGGGATGGGGCCTCCACCACCTCTCTGGGCAACCTTTGCCAGTGTTCTTCCAGTGTTTCATTGCAGGTTCCTTCCAAATGAACAATTCCATACTCTGTTTCAACCCAGTTGGACAAAAGACTTGTTGCTTCAAATTCCATCATACGTTTTTCCTAAACAAGCACACACGCAAGTATATACATTCCATATATGTGTATATAGTAGTAATATTTACCTCATTCCCATGTCATTTTTGGCTGCTAGTCTAAAGGTGTATCCCATTGCTGGTGATAGTTTAGTAATCCTATACTGCTTCTGTTGGCCATAATAACACTGGCAAAACTCTCCATTTCCTTTTCCCTAAAAAGGAATAAGTTAATCACATTGTTCACAAATATGCATTATTATATACGCATCTATCAATGAAAGTAACACATAAATGCAAAGTAAACTTATTTTTTGAAATGAGACATAACTCAAGAATCTCCCATATAGTGAGGTGGTAGTATATGAAATTTTGTATATATACTGAATTAGAGGTGCTTATTTTCCCCTTTCTTTCTATTTCCCAGATCCACAGGGTTGGAAGGAAAAAGCATGAGGCTTCTGCAGCTCTGCTATCTGAGGACAGCTGTCCAGGTAGGCACTGAAAGATGCTTGTGGAGGCACAGTAGATCCACCACCTTTGTACAAGACTGTTATAGGAAAATGATCCTTCAGTGTCAGCTCCTGAAAGAAGTGTTGGGCTACAAGTTAAAAAGCCACTATTAAAAATGTCAGAACTATATAATTAAAACCCTATTATTTCATACTTCTCAAGAAAAAAAATGAGCCATAACCATATTTTCATAATTGCTTTAGCAATTACACATTTGTCACGTGCCTCTAGACAGAAGTCATAATTTTCACACAACTTGCTGTGCACAGTTAAACAAAACTGCTTTTCACAAAACTACAAAATTAAAGAAAAAATAGAATAACTTGCTTACTTCATCCCATTCTAAAAGGTAACTGTGGATTTTAGAACCATTATCACAAGGTGCCTGCAACAGGAAAAGAAGAAAATTACAGCTCTAACTAGTTACAAGACCACTTAAGGAAAAAACGCTTGTATAGGTTAAATCACGACAAGACCAGTGGAGGTCAAATGATGTTCCCCTCATATGACTGTTTCACTTGCCAAGACAGTCCTAGTTCAGTCTGCATTCAACGAAAGTTTGCATCAGGTTTATGGCTTTGTTTTTTAATTTAGACCTTGAAATCTGGCAGCAGTGTAAAATGCTACAGGATCTTCCTGAGCAGCTACACTGCAGGTCTGCTCAAATCTCAGCCTTTCCAGACCACTTCATTTGCTCTGCACAAACAAACCTACGTTCTGCAACAAAGAAAGGAATTGATTCCTCAGTACAGGAGGGGATTGGAACTCAACGAGTGTCTCTCATTTGAACTCAGTAACTTTACCTACAAAGACTCCTAGCTTTTCTAGGAATCCTTATGTTTTTATGGAAGTCTGCATTTAAATCATTACACGTATTTCCAGTCACAGAACTGTGACTGAAATTAATATGTTTGACAAAAGTATTCTGTTTCAATGAACTGGCATTTTACTGACAAATCCAAAACCATATTGAAGAGTTTAAAATATGTATTTTAAAGGTCTTCAACCAATTCTTACCTTCCATTGCAGTGTAAGAGAATTTTTGGTCCGATTAGTTATCCGGGGCAGATTTGGAGTATCAGGTTCACAACTTGTTGTGGTAAAACTCTCTGCTTCTGAAGGGTTCCCCTTTACACAGTTGCATTCTACTTGGACTCTATAAAGTGGAAAAAAGGCAGTAACATTTTGTCTCAAGATCTGTATATACAATTTCCAAAGAATACTGAATATTCACGATTAAGTTACAGTCTTTTTACCTCATTATTAAAATATCACCATTATAAACAAATAACTGGTGGAAACACCTTGCTCGAGTAATGCAAAAGAGAAGTGTCCTTTACTCTGGATGTACATCGTTACTATCAGTCAGCTTTAGATTCACAATTGCATTTGAAATCTCTCTGTTATTTGCTGTACTTTGGCTGGGAAATACTGGTAAGATCTTGCAGGCTCGTTACCTGGTGCAGACATATTAACTGATATTATGAATAATTTTTCTTCTGCAAGTGCTTTCATCAGATGAGCACAATGAAGCTGTTAATATATTTTCAGAGTACCTTCTGCACTCCTTCAAGACCTTGCTGAGCCTGTTGACTCTGTCATTTCCTTTAGGAAGGCTATGAATTAACTCTCCGTGTACTTCAGAAGAGTGAATATTTGCTTTCATCTCAAAGAGAAATGGTTCATTTTTCTAACCGCTCTTCTCCAAAATTAGACACAAGATTATCAGCCAGCCTCTTCCTGCACTCTTCCTCTTTACCTCCCTCAGTTGTGTAGCTATGCCTTGTCTTCACAGTACTCTTTTCTAGTTCACCTGTTCCTTTGGAAGAAAAAAGCCCCAAAATCCCTTTCCTCTGATCACTGGTATAAACCCTGTGATTGTGCCTGCTTGTGAAGAAGCAAAAGTCCTTACATTTTCCCCTTGAGTGCATGAACAGCAAGTCACAGTAAATCTGACCTTGCAGATTTCATGTACAGGGAGAAGGAGACATGTGAACAGTGGCTAATGTTGCACACAAGGTTGTTTGTGCTTGCATATAGTTGCAAATACGTAATCTGTCAATTATCTTCATAGTTTAGTCTTTCTGGTCTTCAGTGATTTTGGGCAGTGTTTGTACTGGCAGAATTCTGTTTAACTCCTGGTCCTGGAAGACCTTAGATGGCTAAATCATCTGTTCCCATGCATTCTCTACAACAACCAGAATTAAGCAAGAAAGAATCTGAAAGGAGACTGATTAAAAAGGACATATAGGGAAAAAATAAATAAATCCTAGGCTCTAACCCTCATGCTCCATGCATTTTCAACTTAAAACATCGTTCGGTAAAGCACATAAACACTACTAAAGCCAGGAACAAAAACACAAGGAAAACACTTGGACGTGAGGACCTTTTAGTCAATTTATCACTCATCCTTCTCCTGAACCTGTGCTGCAGGTCATACAGCGTCGCAAATTAAATGAGGTGTGTGATGAAGAACAGACGAAACGTGCTTTTTCTTCCAGTTTGGCAGCCAGGATGGTACCCTGGAGTACCAGGAGGCACAGACCCGCTCAGGCACAGACCCAGGACCAGGAGAGCAGCTGTCCCATTTGAACAAATGCTAATCCAAAGACTTAGACAGCAGAAATCCTCCTCCTCCTTGCTGCTGATATTCTAAAGCTCATGGGGAAAGAGGCACAACATTTCTGGCTTGGATCCTTACTCGGACATGCTTCTGTTCCCTGTGCTTCCTACCAGCCGCCTCTAAATTGCTTCCCCGGTCAGCACGCAGGGGTCTTGGGGCTCTCCACTAAGAGAGGCAAATCCCTCACATGTTGCACAGTCAGCTCACTTCTAAAGCTGCATTCTCCACTTGCAATTATTTCTTGAAAAGGCAGTAGTTTTAAGGTGGCCTTCACTTCTGACTTCACCATGCTATGTGCTTATGAACTGTGTTCATATTGGTTTTGTTAAAGCAAGACATAAGACAAACCTCCGATATGTATAAAAGGAGGGAAGAACACATAACTCTATCTTTCCAATCCTATGCTAATCCTTCAACAGGACATAGCATAGCAGCAAATTCTGCTATAAGGGTAGAATTCCATTGAACCAGGGGCACAATTAGTAATGCACATGGGGTCAGGGTCACTGGTTTGCTGGAGCAAAGCGAGAGCAGCATAACCTGACCTTCAGGTGGCCGACAATGAGCACATTCCTGTGTAAGGTACCTGCTTCTGCTGCCTCTGGGAAACAGAGAAAGCGAGCAGCACCTGTGCCCAGCATTAAGGACAGAAGAAAGTCCCTGCTCTGGCATGCCCTGAGAAGTGAAGAGCATGGGTGCTGGATGAGGGCCCAACAATCTTCTGTTCTCCAAAAAGGACTGAGTGGTCAGCTAAGCCAAAAATTTTGATTTTCACTCAAATCAGATCCAATGAAACTTTTAAAACATTTCCATTGAATTTAATGAACAGAGATACTCACTTTGCATGGTAATCGGTTGCTGGCCTGAGATCATTTACAGTAACTTTATTTTCTTCTCCACTGCAAAGAGATATGATTTGATTTAAGAGACCGTTTCAGTACCCCATACATTTATGACACACATTATCTAATCCAGCCATCTACCAGTCTTTCTAAGGAATATATTTGCTAACAGTTTGTTTCTGTTGCTAAATACAGTAAAATTAAAATGCATTTGAATTTTAGAGGGTTCTCATATTTCAGTCCTGTTCCTTTGCCCTGGTGATCTTGGGTGGGGTTTTTTGTTGTTGTTGTTCTGTTTGTTAGTGTTTTTTTAAGATTAATTATTTTCTTTTTTACTCAGTAAGATCAGCTCCATGTGTACACATGTATTGTATAACATAAAAACCAGTGAAGTACCAGGGCCTTTAGGAGCATATTTCATTTTTGCAAAAACCATTATCTAAAACTAAATGACTGCATCTACTTAATTGTTAGAGTCCAGTAAACAGAAAAGGCTCTTCAGTAACATCTGTTAGTCTCCTTTTATTGACATCAGCTTATGACAAAGCTCGTTTCTTACTGATAAAGTTCATTTTTTTTTCTCTAAGCTTCTAGGACAGGGATATATCCAAGTTGTGATTCATGTACTACTTCTAAGAAATCCATGGCAGATGACTAAGATAAACTAGCTAAACGCAAAGATTTATAATTATTAGAAAGCTTTATACCCTTAATGGCAAATTTTCTGCTCTATTTCTCCAAGTTGCAAGAAAATGACTGAAAGCCATACTAAGAATGGAACAACTGAAGAGTTTTGTTGCACTCTGTGTGAATCTACATACTTTATTTCATATCTTAAGACTATCTTCCATGAAGAAAATTTTCAGAGAAGGGAGGGATAACCTTACTGGGAGCACAAGCATGTGCCGAAGTAAATAACTACAAATTCAATTTGTATTTCTCACTACTTGTGTATGTCACTAATTGAGAACCCACAGTTTCTAGGGCAGCTGGTTGAAAAACCGAAATAACATCTAAGAACAAAGTCTTTAAATTCTAATTAATGGTGGAGACTTGAGCCATAAACCAGAACCAATTCTACTGAAAAAAGTAGCTTGTTTCAAAACAGAAGTTGCCCAAAACTGCTAATTATGTAAATCTCTGGCCAACAGGCACATTTTTAATGAGGTTTTAAGCCACATAATTCAATGCAATAGCAATTAAATCAAAATAATGAACACCTACATGTATACAGTTTTGTATTTTCCATCCTTTCCAGTATTTGAAATCATCACTTCGTAAGTATAAACATCTGGTATGTCATTCTTGTCAGTGTCTTCTCTGGTATCACTGGATGGAGGGGACCAAATAAGCAGAGCTGTTCTCGCCTGAATGTCTGATACCTGCAGAAATACAACTTTAAGACCTCTGCCATTTAAATGCTGTTGTATATAAATGCTGATTTGCCACAAAGGACCAAACAAAAGAGAAGAAAATCATAAAGCATTATCATAACAGAATATTTATGTTGATCTAATAGCTACTATTTAGCTTTTACAGATGAAATCAAACTTGAAATCTAAGAAACGTCATGAGAAAACTGTAACCCTAAGGCCCAAGGCTGAGTGCAAAATTTTAAATAACAAATGCCACCTAGTGGGCTACATAAAAATGACTGTATCATTTGTGAAGCACAAGAGATGGCAAGTATATATTGTGAATCAGTTGTTTCACTAAATTACAGTGTTTCAGACTTTTTTTTTAACATGAAAAGTGCTATGATTTTTTTTTAACACCTTCTTGAAATATACAGAAGTTCAGGAATTCCTCCAAAATGACCAGCATTACTGCATCAGGTACGTAAACTCACTCTGCTTTGGGCATTTAATTATGACTGTGCCAAGTAGGTTCTCCCATTAGATTAGAACTCATTTGGCCAGCTACCCCAGCAAACGGGTTTTGATCAAGGTATTAATAGGGATATAATTACCTGAGGCTCTCATCTAGCACTCTGTTAGCAAACAGAATATTAAAACATACTTTGGGCTCAGGTGCTTGCGATGAAGGCATGCTCACAAGGTCCATGTAGATATATACATATATAAATACACATATGCATATATATATATATGTATATATATATGAGTGTCCTGGTTTTAGCCAAAAAATCCAATTCTGTTCAGTGATTATTATTTTCCAG